TTAAATTCGTGAATGGACCTTGGGAACTATAACTCAGAATTTAGTTATCATGGGCTTGGTTAAAATATGAACCAAAAATAATTTCATTTAACAAGTAATCAAAATTATATTTCAAAGGGACAACAAAAATAACTGTTCTGAACTGTTGATGCTTGACAAACATAACCTCAAGACAGAAAACGCTATATACCAGGATCAGATGGCCATCCAAGAAAAGAAAAAACCTCATCATTCCAAAAGGAATTCATTTATCAATAAAACATAACATAACGATGTTCCAGTCATGTTACCACATGACAGTTCATTTTCATGAGTATCATAGCTGCAAAACATTCTTGCTAGAATAAAGCAAGCAGTAGTTAGTGAACTTACCAGTTCAGAGTTCTGATTTGGGACAGAGGTGACTGGTGGACCTGATGGACCAGAGAGAATCACAGTGGCACCCTATCAAACACAATAAGAACATTTTAGAAACATTCCATATGAAGAAAGAAAGCAACCTGCCTTAAGCTGCCCATTTATGCTAAGAATGTTAAATGAAAACGCATTTATTTTGTTCAAAGGAAATTAGTCTCGTGGCATCAGATTAGTATGTGCATCAATGTACCATACATCAATTACTGGTTCACAAAAGGAAAAAGCAGTATGCATATAGATCAACCTGATATGAGCAATAGGTTAAGGTGGGAAACTATAACATACCTCTTTACTCCTAATAGCCATTTGTCCAGGTGGTGGAGCAGGTAATGCCTGTGATGGAAGAGCCACAGATTTTCCCCACCCAATTTTCAACTCATATTCATACACAACAACTCCTATGGCATGAAATAAATTACTTCAATCACTTTAGTGTTCTGCTCCATATAATGAATATTTGAATAGTAGCTCACATAAAATGGTATCCAGCTAAAATAAACCACAAATTAGTGATATTGATACACAATGATCACGAAAGATGTGCAGTGCTCGTCATATCAGGAGATACTTTGGCACAAAGTAAATACCCGAAAAACATGGATTAATAGAGTAAATGATCGAACCTTGCATTTCATCCTTTGCAGCCTGCCCATCAGCTCTATTCATGAATGCTACAAATCCACAGTTTCTTTGCCGTCTCCGCTCTTCTTCTGTCCTGGGCCACATTATCTTCACACTAGCTATGGGCCCAAATCTTCCAAAAGTTCGCAGAAGAAAATTCTCATCGACCTAGACATAAAGGCAAGAATTAAAATGTCCTTGACTGTATAAATAACAGAGAATTAACAAGTAGAGATGCAAAAAAGAAATAACAATTCAAAGTAACAATCTGACCTGTGGTGAAAGATTCCCAACATAAAGATTTGTGGTTTGTGGATCAACATCATCAAATGATCCAGGCAGCCTTCCACTTGGATCGAAGTCATCAGGTAGTTCATCAAAACGACTAGATGGCTGGGGAAAAGGAAAAGAAAAGGAAAACCTTAGTTAAAGATCCATTTATGTTCAAGAGCGGTAAAATATGCAAAGTGTGAGTATACAGTGTGTACGCATTTGCACTAGGGACTTACAGCAGAATTTTCATTATGGCGCCCTTCGCGCCAATGTTCCCGTTCTTGATTTCGCCTCTCCCTCATCTCATGCTCATGCTTCAGCTCCTCCATAAAATGATCTATGTTTCGAGTCTTTCCCTTTTCCTTCTCCTTTGGTCTCTCCTCCTCCCTCTGCAAAAATATGAGAACACATGAAATTGACTGTCACAGGAAGAGGCTTAAGAACCAACAGATATAGATGCCTTCTATCAAAATGCTAACCTTCTTCTCAAGTTCTTTTCCCTTGGATGCCATAGGAGGTGGGATGAAAGATGGAACATACCTGCAGAAGTAATATTGCAGATAAACTTCTATGTCACGAAGACAACTGTTTATTTTGCTGTTGCAGCCATAATCTAACAAGTGCTATCCACATCCCTTTCAAGGATGAACCTCATGATGTATTCTCGTGTTCTCCATTTTCAAATTTTTTAAGTGCCTCGAACTATTAAAATGTATTAGTTATTTGACTTTGCAGTCTCTTTTTAGCCCTTCAAATCCAAAAATTTTAAAAATTTGGCAGTCAACAAATAAAAACAACATGGTTAATGGTTATTATCAGTCAGTATTATTCCTTTAAAGAATACATCTTAGAATATCACACTTTTGAAAAAATCAATCAAAGGTTGCTATTCTAAGAGATTGAAAATTTTCTGTGTTGAAAAAGCATAAATTAGGGATCGACACAAAATCTATGCTCACTTATAATTGGTTCAAATGATTATCAATTTCGATTTTTAATGCCATCAAGTATGAAAAACACACAAATAAACTTTTTTTTCCTATTTTCTTCAATGTACAAAACTAACAAATCCAAAACTACACTCGAGGATTTTATCACCACACAATTCTCTCATTCTGGTGATGCCTTACCAAAAGAGCATGGGAACATGGTTAATCAATCAAAAGCATTAATTTACCTCCTTCCCTTCTTTGGAACAGATACCCCATCTTTCGACTTTTCACCTGCCATCCGCGAATGATAAAAAAGGCCCATACTTTTATTAATGTGTCCGGTAACAATATAAAACTATTTATTTATCCATAGTGTGAAACAGTTAAGAATAAAGAAAAACAATGGGAGAAAGAGACTCGTGCATTAACATTAATGAGCAATCAAAATTCCTAACTAACCTTTAGAATCAATCTTCAATTTCTCATTGGGATTGATTGTTCCACCTCGAACAAAAGTCTTTGATCCGGGTGCATTATCCCCTTGAAACGACTCCACAAACTCCGCATACAAACGAGCTGTTTCATCCTCCGCTCTCTTCACCAAAAAAATCAGAAAATCAGCCCATAAACAAAACTACCAAATTTCTTCAACCAATAGAAACCGCATGAGTTCAAAACTCAGGCAATGACAGCAAACACACACACATCACACACCTTTTTCCTCGCCTCTTCTTCCTCTCTATGCTTCTGGAATGGAGTCTTTTTTCTCGTGATGGAGAAAGAACTCATCTTTGCATTAGATTCTGAAATTAAAACAATTTCAAAGTTCAAAGTTCAGTCAAAACTCACAAAAAAAAAAAGTATCCAAGCTCAAATCCGTTAATTAATAAATCAATAAAAAAATGAAGTCAGCATACAATAAAGCACCACAGCAACAGCAACAGAACCCTGAATTCAGTTCCAAAAACCACCAAGTTTGCCTACCAATCAAACTAAACCTAATTATTCGACTAACAAATTCTAAGATCGCCAAACTTCTGGACAAACTAAACCTAATCAGTCAACCAAATCGAAATTAGGGCTTCTTTCAAATTACCGAACCAAGTCATTGAAATCAATTTTCTAACTTGCAGTTACAAAAGTGTAGCAAGAACGAAAGAAAACTGACGTCGAAGACAAATTGAAAGAGAGCGGGTGAGTGAGTGAGTGAGAAGAACGAACCGGGTAGAGCTGAGTTGATCGAATAGGGGTTTTGTGGAGGGTGATTTGGGGCTGGTAAAGGGAGTTCTCAGTTTCGTCTTCGTCTTCTTGGTGATGTTATAGCTGTTAATTCAATCTAGTAAAACAATCAATCTCGATAGAGAAAGGAGGCGGGTGACTTTTTTGGGCTCTTTTTTCATTAAAAGATGGATGGATACTAGTAAATGGGCCCAGATCTAGCCCATCAAAAAAGAAGATTAGCTGATTCGAGCATAATTGTTAAATTTGACCCGAGATATAAGTTAACTAGAGGCCCGGGTCACTGAATTTTTAGGTCACCTCATCAGTCTCAAAATATTATCTTTTTATTTTGGACAAAAACTTAAAAAAAAAAATCCTTAAAGATAGACCGTTTTACTAGGGTTTAATTAGGTTATCCAATCATAAGTTGGGTTGAGTTGTTATATCACTTGAATTTTAATGTAGATTTGAATAATGCTATTCATTTGAAGAATTTTATTGTTATGCTTACAACTTTTAGCTTTGGCATGGATGTTCATTTTTATTGAGGTTAATTTCAAATTATCTCAAATGTAAATTAGTGTGAATTTGAAGCAATTCTTTTTTAATTTTGATTCCAACTATAAATATTTTTATTTTTTAGACCAATTTGAAGTATTTGGGATATCATTAAATGCCTAAATTAAAATTTTAGAAATACAAGAGAAAACAAAAAAATAAATAACAAAAAACCCTTTTCCTCTACGCGTAGATTACCACTCTACTTCTCTTTCATATTTTTTTTTGTTGCTTTCATAGTTTTTAAATTTAATTTGTCTTGATATGAATTAGAAGGGTTGACTCATATCAATTTAAGTTAATTTATTTTTTATTTTATAAAAAAAGTGAAAATGACATTGTTTTTAAAATAAAAATAAAATCAACGAGTCTTGATTGATATAGATAATTGAGTGATTTATTAATTTAAACAATTTAACTTATTATTTATAATCAAGATACAAGTCAAGTAACAGATAATTATAGTAATAGCAAGCGATTCTTAGTAATACCTGTAAAATATCTCATTTGATAAATGTGAAGATTTTCTAATAATTAAATCAATAATTTTATAAAAAAAGACAGTATAATAATATTATTTTAAAAATATATATACTAAAAAAACTAATAATAAAAAAATTGTGAACTTTGACTTAAAAAACTCATAAAATATTTATAGTCTATAAATCTTATTATTTTATAAAAAAATTAAAATATAATTTTATTTTTATAATATTTTAATTACTAATAAACAATAAAAACAGAGCACCCGTCAACAATAAATCTTTGACTTAAAGAACTCAAAATGTATTTTTAATGTTAAGAGTACTAGTAATCAATTACAGCAGAGCAGCGGCAGCAACAATAATAATAATATTTATTGTTATTATTATTGATATTATAAAAAAAGTTGGCATCCAACCATGCCTCGTTCATTCATCACATAAAATTTTGAACAAACAAGAAATTAATTTATAGTGGATTTTGAGAAGTTGATAAGACAATTTCTCAAAATTAATTATTTGGGCAAGAGACAAATTTGAAGTTTTACCAAGTGTACTAAAAGATCTTGACATAAAAATACACTGACCAAACAACAAAAGTGGCCTTTCATCAGCAACCTGAGCAGAGCTTCAATTGTTATGATTATACATGCATGTTGGAAAGATAGTGAGATGAACAGAGCAGTTATAAAATTTCCAAATCAAACAACATGGGATTTAGAACAAAGCCTACGCAATACACTAAATCGCACTTTAATATATTTCGCATTTCTATTGGATTCAACTCGCAGAAAACTTGAATACTAGCTATCATTTTAGTGTGCCAATCTCTTAAGATGTTGAAGCAGCCGCTGTTTGATCCACTGTCTGTCATTTGGAAGGTAGGCCTGAATTGAGTGCTCATAACTGCAAGACAGAAATAAATAAACAGGACATCAGCTATCCCGCAAAAGCAATCATAAAAAATCCATGCAAGTCTTTGTGCTAATTACATAAAGCTACATCTCATTCAAAAAATCAAGAGAATTTCCATGCTTCTGCCCTGGATATGGATATTGGAGTTGGAATGTAGCTGGCTTGATAAATATAAAGAGACAGCAGAATGACCCAGCTTAGTAATAATTGCCTTATTTTCCCGAGGTACCTTAGTCTTTCCAATAGAAAACTCTCATTCTCAAACAAGATAACATCTAAGTTTTGGGGGCCATTCGCTAACAGTGTTTAATTGAAGAAAATTATGTTGGCACTCAACACAACTGTTTGAGAAGACTGACATTGAATGTGATGGTGGGAATATATACTCTTCACCAGCGAGGTTCATGGATATGTAAATGCACATTAAATATTTTCACCTCCCAGTAAAAATAATTTTGAGAGTCAAAATGCAATACTCTTAGCTACCCAAGCATGATAGCTGACATGGACGTCTAAAGGTATTCAATAGCCAGCTTCAAAGTCTTTGGATGTGCGTGTGAGTGGAGGGAGGGAAGGAGAGAGAAATACACCAATGCGCTCATGTCTGCAAGGCCATCAATGAAATTGTAGAGATCCCCAATATCATAAGTGATGTTTCTGTTGGCTGGATTTAGGTCCTTGAGCTTCCTTTCGTATAGTGCACAAATACCTACAAATGCTCACGACAAACAACCTCAATGAGTAAGGAGATTTTAACAACAATACATTCATTGAAAAATAAATCTAAGCGCTAAGCAAATGGTTAAAAAGCTTGTGATGGGTTCATTTTATAATTTGACAGCCTATTTCATAAGAGTCACCTCAGCCATTATACAAGCACAGACAGCCTTTAGGATAAAGTGAAAAGCTGGACTACCAAATAACATTAAGATGTCACGTGATCAGAACAGAATCAATCAAATTCCAAACACAGTGTATAAAACACCAATATCTTCATTTCCTGCTAAAAAACTAAAGGGAGTAAAAGTAAATGAACAGAGTATACCCTGTATCAAAAGTAGACGATGGAAGGAGAATCAATAACCCTAAGAGATAACAATATTCATGTAACTACTACAACTAAGATGGCTGAATGAAGTTGAAAAAGCTCCTTAAGCTGGAAAGTGCACAGCACAACCATAAACCCACAATCAATTACACCAATTCCATTACTTCTGCACTCTATATTGACACAGGTACTATGTTAAAAGCAACAAACATGAGAGGAGGAAACACCCTTCTTGACTGAGGGCATAAAAATACCATAAACACAAAAAAACCTTTTAAGCCTAACAAGCTACTATATCTACTCCAATCTTCAAAATAAAAATAAAATCTCACAGAGCCAATCATAATCAACAAAAAACTCTACAGTAACACAACAGCAGCAGGACATAACTCACATACCATCCATAGCTTGACTTATGGAGTCATAATCCATGAAAGTTCTGGTAGCTCTATTTTGAGAGGTCTGCATCAAAACTATTGTGTGCCTATTTGCCTACACATCAAAAACATAACCAGTCAAAAACACCCGAAGAAGAAGAAGAAGAAGAAGCAAAGCATGAAACTTAACCAAAATTAACAAAAGGCCATTTCTTAAGAAACTAAAAAGTTCAATAATTTACAAATTCAATCAAACAAAAACTTAAATCTCATTCATTATTTCGAAACCTTGATTTAAAAATAGAAAATGAGATTAAGAGAAAATTACAGATTTGAAATAGAATCGAACTGGGGATTCAGTAAATAATGAAAATCAGAGGAGAAATTTGGGTACCATAGCTTGAATTGCAAGCGGAAGCTGTGGATTCTTAGGGCAAGGGTTTATGGCCTTTGTCTTGGTATGAAATGGAAGTAGATTGAAAATGATTGTCTTTGAGAAAAGTCTGTGGGTCCTACAATTATAAAGAGCCACTATAAAATTGCCACGTTATTTTTTTTTATTTTTTTATATATATGTGTGTATGTGATGGTGTCTCAGTGCTGTAAACTTAGTTAATTAAGGACAAAATTTCAGAAAAAATAAATTTAAAAAACGTGAATTTAAAAAAAAAAAAATTTGAAAAGTAAAATATTTTTTAATGTTTGACAGTGTTATAAAAAATGAACTGAAAAATATTTTTTAATGTTTAGTTATAATATTCAAAACAAAATATATATAGCAATCAAAAGTTTGAGGATCAAATTTGATATAATCAGCAAATAATGACATTTCTAAACTTTTCACAACTTCCAGAAAGTGTTTTCCTCTCAAATTTTTCAGGAAAACACTTTCCTGAAAATCAAGCCAAATTTTCCTTTGACTGGAAAGTGTTTTCCGTTTACCAACATTCTTAACAGCAAACAAATATAAGAAAGTTTAGAAAGTGATTTTCCAGAAACCACTTTCTGAAAAACAAACACAAGAAAGTTTGGAAAGTGTTTTCCTGGAAACCACTTTCCGGAAAATAAACACAGCTAAAAAGAAAAACACTTTCCTGAAAACCAAGCTAATTTTTTTTTTACTAAAAAATATTTTTGTTGACCAGAAAGTATTTTCCGTTGACTGAAAAGTGTTTTTTGTTGATCGGAAAATGTTTTCCGTTGACCAACTTTCCTAATGACAAACAAACACAGGAAAGTTTGGAAAGTGATTTCCCGGAAACTGTTTTCTAGGAAACAAACATGGCCTAAGTTAGAAATTATATTATTATAAGTAAAATCAAAACGTGGGAAAAAAATATGGATGGTCGACAATGTGTTCTTTCCAATTTGTCCCTGCTAAAACAAAGTAAATGCCTAACTATTAAGGGGTATTTTTGTCATTTCACAGGAGCATTAGTCTCTCAAGGTTGCTTAAGGAGTATTTTTATTTTTTTATGCATAATAAAAAAATTAAATTACTTCTAAAAATAATATCTACTTACTTATACCTTTTAATTATATTATTTGGTAACAATTTTAGTCAAGTTAACTTAAGATCAAGTTTCAAGGGCAAGATTAAAAAAAAAAACTCATTGTCACAATAAATATAAAATGCCCATTAGTCTTAGAATGTGTTTATTTAAGGTGCGCCATGCAATGCGTCTTGCTGACTATGAAATCGTCACAGAAACCCAGTTTCATGGTTGATGTTGAAATCTTCAACGCGCATAGACTACTGCAGAATCATAAATTATTGAGCAAAATTCAGTCACTGTCGATTTAGGAATGATAACTGGAACCCATTTTTATGACAAACACTGAAATCTTTAGCACCCATAAATTATTATAGAATCAGAAATCATTAATGAAAACTGTGTCGTTGCTGACTCAACAATCATAACTAGAATCCACTTCTACGGTCGACGTTAAAATCTTTAACGTGCATAGACTACTGCAGAAACAGAAATCATTGACCACAATTGAGTCACAAAAAATATAAGGCCATGTTTGTTTCCCGGAAAACAGTTTCCAGGAAACTTCCAAATGTTTCTGTGTTTGTTTGTCATTAGAAAAGTTGGTCAACGGAAAACATTTTCCGGTCAACAAAAAACACTTTCCAGTCAACGGAAAACACTTTCTGGTCAACGGAAAACACTTTCTGGCCAACGAAAATATTTTTTAGTCAAAAAAAATTTGGCTTGGTTTTCAGGAAAGTGTTTTCCTTTTTAGCTGTATTTGTTTTCCGGAAAGTGGTTTCCGGGAAAACACTTTCCAAACTTTCTTGTGTTTGTTTTTCAGAAAGTGGTTTCTGGGAAATCACTTTACAAACTTTCTTGTGTTTAACTTTCTTGTGTTTATTTGCTGTTAGGAAAGTTGGTAAACGGAAAACACTTTCCAGTCAAAGGAAAATTTGGCTTGATTTTCAGGAAAGTGTTTTCTTGAAAAATTGGGAGGAAAACACTTTCCGGAAGTTGTGAAAAGTTTAAAAATGTCATTATTTGCTGATTATATCAAATTTGATCCTCAAACTTTTGATTGCTATATATATTTTGATTTTCCATAACATAACCAAACACTGGAAAGTGTTTTCCAGTTCATTTTCCATAACACTACCAAACATCGGAAAATACTTTACTTTTCTGGAATTAACTGTTCAAAAGGAAACAACTTTCCTGCGAACAAACGGAGTTCACCTCACAATGAAACATAAATTTTATGTTTTTGAAGCATAACACATTAAACAAATATATTCATATTCTTAATATGTGTTTGAGATAAAAATGTGGTAAGGTATATTTATGTTTTTTTAATCTAACCTATAGAACAAACAATAAAAAACACGTATTTTTTTACTTTGTTTCTACCTGCATTTGCTTCCTAGGTCCAAATCTCATCTTTGGAATTCACATAAACAAAGGGCTACTGCCAGATCATCAATGGAGGCAGAGTATAGGGCCCTTTCCAGAGCAGGATCTGAAACAATTTGGTTATTGTCCCTATGTCAGGAACTCGGCCTCCCTATCTGTTCGCCACCAACATTACTCTGTGACAACTTGGGTGCTACTGAACTTAGTCTTAATCCAGGGCAACATTCTCGCATGAAACACCTTCAAATTGACCTGCATTTTGTCCATGATATGGTTCAAAAGGGCATGCTGGAAGTCCATCATGTTCACACTCAAGATTAGCTTGCGGATCTTCTCACCAAGCCTCTTTCTAAGCATCGCACAGAACAGTTGCGGTTTAAGATTGGTCTTGCTGACGGCAGCCCTATGTTGCGGGGGTGTATCAGAGATAATGGGGAAAATCCTGCAACAAAAAGATCCCACAATGCCAGCCAATATCCAAGCATGTAACGGTCAATTGATTGTAAGAATCAATCACGACAGTTATATCTCTCCTAGGCACAATATCAACTATATTTACTATAACAGATTTGTACTTCTTGTACACACACACACACACACACTACACTTACTGCTTGCATGAGTGGCACAATTGTAATACTTCCTGCTTGCATGAGTGGCACAATTGTAATAGGAACCATTTGATAATACATCTTCAATATCTTCATCATAGCCGAACGCTAAAATTTCTGGCAATTTAAACATAGTTTTCTCAGATTCCTGTTGCAGAAAACACTTGTGGATAAACTGTGATGACTGGAGCACAAATTTACATGTATTGATTCGTTTTTCTTCCTTTAACAGTGATGACAAACATTCATTCCAAGATGAGCTTCTGAATGTCCTTCTGGAACAGCAAAGGAGAAGAAAAATTAAGAAAACCTATTGATCCATGAATTGTGAAGACAATATTTTGTTTTTAGGGAGACAGCATGTTTTATAGAACAGATGTTAGTTGCTACCACTTCCTATCAATCATGTAAATTAGAAGAATTCTAAGGAAATCAGAAGGCTTGAAAGTAGAAGAGGAAATGTATCTCGATTTGAAAAGGTGATGTTGGCAGTGGATATCGCTCTACAACCTTTCCATTTTTGTCCACCAAGAACTTCTCCAAGTTCCACTTGATCAGGCCAACTGAAAATCCTCCAGCACTCGATTTCAGAAACTGATAAACCGGAGCTGTACTTGGTCCATCCACACCAACCTGTTGTGCAACACCTTGAGTAATTAATTGTTCTTTTTCAAAGAGACATTTTACTGACAGGAGAGAAATAATTCTGCATACCTTATCCAATATTGGAAATTCTGCTTTGTACCCGGCACAAGCAAATTATTTAATTTCAGGGTTCGATCCAGGTTCTTGCCCACCAAACTGATTGCAAAGAAAAGCCAGAATTTCAAATCCTGCAATGCAAGTAATATAATCCATGTTGCTTCGTCGATTCAACGAAAAAGAAATATTTTCACTGACATTTAAATTTTTTAAATCGATTAAAGAAAGGATACGTAGAGGCTACACAATGGTGCAGATATGGGAATATCCCTATTCCCTATAGATATTCTCTTCCTTATATTGATATGTGTCCATGAATGGTTTATTGATCTGATGATATTGTTACTGTTACAATCTTAACAAAGCCAGGAGCCAGCCTGATCTTGCAAATTTTCAATGTCCTCTGGTTGAAGGACACCAGGCGAATACAAAGTCAGAAGAGCTTTAGATGCATGACAAAACATTAGATTTCTCGTTAAAAAGGGGTAGCAGAAATTATATGTACATAACACGTATGAGACAGACAAATCCCTACTCTAATAGTACTCAAATACCAGAATTCTATCACTCCCTAGCACAAATCGGGCCGCATGTTTACATGTGTAAAGGCTTTGAGAGCCGGGAGCATGCAAGGAGATATCAAATCGAGAGAAAGATCAACACCAATTCAAATGACAGCCTCATAGCAAAGGTATTCTTAAGCTTACTAAAACAGAAATTCTTTCCACAACAATCAGGGTGCACGTACCAAAATGCCAAAAAAAACCAAATGTTTTCCTTGAAAAATATTAGCTTACCTTCAGTCTTGTACTTCTCATATAGGCGTGTGAGTTCTGAATAATTTGTTGATGCAAAACCACTGCGAGTCAGAGCAAGCACTTCCATTAAGATCTCATGTTTCAGCACAAAGTTCAGTTAAATGAAAAATCTGGTCCGTTTTACAAACATAGACATCATATATAAAACACGAACTGAATTAATCTAATCAAATAGCTACTTAAACTACATTAATTTGGTTAGTGTCATAGGATAGAAGAGAGATACATAGAACGTGTGAGATTGAAGAAAGATAACATAAAATAAATTTGTCTCATGAAGTACAGAGAGTTTCTCTTATGTCCTCATCTTCGCACAGTAACCAAACGCTAACAAACCAGATCACTAAAGAAAACATTGTTGAAGGCGAGAGTACCATTTCGAAGCAACATTAACAATCAAGAGAACTTCCCCTTAAATTTGCTTAGAGGAACACCCTTCCCATCAATATCCTGCGTAGAGTAAATGGAAGAAGTCATTCCCCAC